ATTGAAATCGATTTTAGAATACCCTTCTAATATATTTGCAGATCATTTCCATATCGCGGAATACTCCTGACTGTAATAGGAATATTAGGGGTTTCAAAGTTAAAATGCGGAAATCTAATTTTAATTGAAATTGGTTACAGAATTATTTTCAAATGAACGCTGTATCAACTTTATTTCATTTTCCGATAAATTTGAAATGATAATTTTTGTCGTTGAAAAGTCTATTTATTTCATTTTCCGATTTTAAAATGTTAAAATACAAATAAGCTTTTTCAAACTCTCATTTAATTTCAAAATGCGCCACTCATTTGTTAACTTTGAAACCCCTATTACTGTATAGAAAACCATAATGTTTACTAAGAAAGGATTTTGCTAAGCGACATCAAAAATCTCACATTTCATGTTACACATTCATGTGATATAAAATTTATAATATGATTCCTATAATTGTATTGTACATCACTGAATTTAGATATTTATTTGTAGTTATAGCCAAAATTCTTATACTTTGCAACCGAAAGCTATTGGTTGACACCAGTCAAATTAATTTTTACTAATTTAGGCAGATGTAAATACATTCACAACATAATGCACAGATTCAATTCAATAAACTTTATCCGTAATCCACCAACAAGTTTATAATTCCAAAGTTTTAGAAGAGGTGTGCAACATGATACTGCTTAATAAATCATGTATGGTTATACATATATCTACTTTTTTCTTATTTAAATTAATGCGTGGCATGTTTGACGTAACAAGCAATTTATATTGGTGATACATTAGACCTGTTTATGCATATGTGTAACACATTCTAGAAATTCATTTTTGCTTATTTACCGTGTTTAAATATTCTGGACTATACACATTACTACAATATTGAAAGCCAAGCTGTTACTATTTTGTTCAGTTTCTTTCAACTTTTAACAAACAATGCCGTCTTCCCTTGAAAAAATACCATACCGACATCGATATCCATATTTTACCTCGAAAACCATTAGAAATCTTTTGTTCATATCATTTATCCTTGTGTTGATCATTTATTTTTATAATAGCAATAGCAAAACTGACATAATAATAAATTCACCAATATATCAAGAAAGCCATACTAACAATATTGTCATAATCGTCGATGGAGAACAACAGGCAAAAGCTTTACAACCGATTTATTGTAATTTATCGAAACAGTCGAGCAATACGTTTATTCATGTAGTAGTTACTGGTAAAGAACGTGGAATGTGTGGAGAAGAGCTAAAAAAGATTAAGTTTGAATTACCTGAATGTCACATATCCGTACACGACTTGGGTATTCGAAATCGTTCATCAGACAATGAAAATTTTATGTCGTCTATATTTACAGAAACAACTCGCATGGTAAATCAACTTAGACCGATTGTATTGATTTATATAAAAAATTTAGATGATTTTGTGATGCGTGGAATTGACGCTGCTACAATTGCGACATCCAAAATTAATGAATTCACAAAGATTGCAATACCTATTGAACATATGAACAATATAATGTTCATAACAGATTTGCCAATTGAAGCTCTTAAACGTAAGCATTTAAATAATTATCCTATTTATTTTTTATTTATATATTTATTTTATATATTTATTTTATATATTTATTTTATTCATATCACTCATATACATTTTAGAATGGAACACTCCCAAATTTCGTATACAAGTAATTACATATGAACGTCCAGCTTCTTTAAAACGTCTCGTAGAATCACTTAGGTCATCTATTTATCTTGGTGACAACGTACCTCTCACCATAAATATTGATGAGGGTGCTGACCTACGTACCATTGAATATTCTCATGCTATTGAATGGCCTTTTGGTAAAAAGAATATTCTACGTCGCACAGTTCAAGGTGGCTTGGTTGCAAACATTGTGGAATCTTATTATCCGGCCCATAATAATGATTATGCCTTCATCTTTGAGGATGATATTGAAGTTTCCCCATTTTTCTACATATGGGCTAAATATACCATTTTAAAATATAGATATGGTCCTGATAGAATTTTTAGCAATAGAATGTTTGGCGTCAGCCTTTACAATTCAAAACACATTGAATTAACTTTGCCTAAGCATACGAAATTTAATGCTGCTCTCGTTTTGGATTCTGCAAAATATAATAGACGAAGTCCATATCTTAGTCAAATACCATGTAGTTGGGGTTCTGTATTATTCCCTGAAATATGGCGTGAATTTCATCATTATATATCTGTTCGATTAAAGAACCCTAATTTGCAAGACATTAATATTCCTGAAAGTCGTTCAAATAGGTGGCATAATTCTTGGAAGCGTTATTTTATTGAGCTCGTTTATCTTAGAGGTTATGTGATGCTTTATCCAAATTATATTAATTTTGTCAGCCTTTCCACTAACCATCATGAAAAAGGCGTACACGTTCATAAAGAAACTCGTAAAGGTTTTTTATTACCACTTATGAAACATGATATTATATCTGAGGGACTACCAAATGGTGGTTTGCCTAATTATAGAAATTTACCAACATTGGATCTTTTCGGAACAGTTGTACCATTTAAAACAATTGTGGAACGTGGACATAATCTACACAGAAATATTTCACTATGCCCTCCCAGCAATTCTGAAATACTTACTTATGATCCTAAAGATCTATTATGTATAGATGAATCAAAGAAGATTATTGAACCCAAAAAACGTAAAAAGTCAAGAAAATCAAAGAAATCGAAAAAATCTAGAAAATCGAAAAAATCAAAGAACAGACTAAAATTAATTAAACTCAACAAAGCTATCAAGGATGAACAGACTAAGAACAAAGCTATCAAGGATGAACAGACTAAGAACAAAGCTATCAATGATGAACAGACTAAGAACAAAGCTATCAATGATAAACAGACTAAAAACAAAGTTATCAATGATAAACAGACTAAAAACAACGTTATCAATGATAAACAGACTAAGAACAAAGTTATCAATGATGAACAGACTAAGAATAAACCTATTGCAGCACCTATCATATATAAGAATAAACCTATTGCAGCACCTATCATAAATAAGAATAAACCTATTGCAGCACCTATCATAAATAAGATTAACCCCGACTCAAAATCAGCTAATCTTAATTCTAAGTCGGATCAATCTAAACGGTAACTAGTGGAGAAAATGATCGTAATGAAGGCAGTAAAAGATTAACGGCATATTTCATCTTTTTTTTTTTTTTTTAAAGTGGCAAATTAGATATAAATGTTAATGCACTCTTCTTTTAATAGATAATTTTATGTATGATAAATAGCCAAACCTCAATTAGAGTGAACAAATGTACATTTAGGTAGTAATGTAGATAATAAATTAGGAGTATTTAGTAACATTATAATAATAAATTTATTTTCATTTAAATAAAAAATTTTGAATGTAATATTTTGTGAATTTGTAATATATTAAATAACATGCGTTGATGTAAATTAATTGACCAGGTAATTAATCCATTTTCAAAGCGAACTGTGCATAACCACCAAAATAATCTACGTATGCTCCGACTAAAATTAAGCATTATATTTTAAGATTTAATTATAAACTAAATTGAGAAAACAGCCAAAAACAAATCTGACAATAATAGTGAAATTATTGACTAATAATTATCATACATGTTTGATATATCAGCGCATATTACTTTGATACAATTAAGTGATACTCCTGATACTTCTAAAATTAACTACTGTTACACCCAGACCTTGTTAACTAGAGATAGTGATTGGTGAAAATCTTCTGATCGATCATATGATCAATCCGGCGAAGTTTGATTGATCGACTAAAAAAAGGCATTCCGAAATGATTGGCTGTTGTCAAAAAATCATTTATAATTGCTTAGATAAATACAAAACATTTTGCTGGTTTGTACATTATCATTATCTAAAATCAGCCAAGACTAGTAACTCGAAAATTTTAAAGCTGCATCTGCGCTTGCTACTGTCATTATTAAAATTAATATCTGTCTGAAGTTGCATTTCAAGTACCTATTTTTACGATTCTGGAAGAGCTTAGTGACCTTTATTGTCAGGTTTAGCTTGAATCGTAATCTTAAATGATTAAATTTATAGGTGTTTATTTATCGCTCTTTTCAATTTAGTGACTCGACGATCTTTTAATCCCGTTAGTCTTATGATTAGAATATGGTAGTCCCTCAACTTTCTCATATTTCGCGGGTCTCATTTTAATTATTCATATATTTCCTTTTTATAGATAAATAGATACCGGTAACAAAGTTTCATAAACATAGGATGGCTATTTATGTTGTATTTACAGACTCACGGGATTCAAAAAAAAAAAAAAAAAAAAAAAACAAAGGTCGTCAATTCGTCAGTCCACCTAAATCGAAAATATAGTTATTTGGTAGTCAAATAATAGTAATCTGACGAATAATTATCAGTAGCCGACCAAACCCATCCCTAGTTATATGTAAGTATTTATTTATTTTTATTATCATTTTCTTTTAATTTTTATTTTATTTTATTTTATTTTTATTTTATTGAAAAAGTGACTTCGATCTCATTTTTATTTATTAATTTAATTATTATGCTGATGGCTCCATTACATATTAT